TTTACTATGGCTCTTTCATTTAACGGTGTTTTGGTTAGTCCAAATCAAATGCCTCGTTTCTGGATTTTCATGTATAGAGTCTCTCCATTAACATATTTAATTGATGCTTTGTTGGCTACTGGTGTTGCTAATGCAAAGGTTCATTGTTCACCTTACGAATTACGTCAATTCACTCCACCAGCTGGTCAAACTTGTGGTGAATACATGGCTCCTTATATTACTATGGCCGGGACAGGTTATTTAACTGATGTTTCGGCTACCGATATTTGTCATTTCTGTCAATTCTCAGAAACCAATGACTTCTTAGCCACTGTCAGTTCCAAGTATTCAAGAAGATGGAGAAATTTTGGTATTTTTATTTGTTTCATAGCTATTAATTATGCCTTTGGTATTTTCTTCTATTGGTTAGCTAGAGTTCCAAAATCTCTAGGTAAATTAAGTAAGAAGAAATAAACTAGCATATTTTTGATATATTGACATTTGTAAGCATTTTATAATAAATTTGATATAAAATTTTTTGTAACATAATAGACTACTATTAATACCATGAGATAACCAAGTTTTAACCCTATAATGTATAGCAAGGAGTATATTTTAGTAGATAATTACTATTTGTAATACTATTATCTAATTAATTAATTATTTATTTATTCCTAATTTATGCTAAATATTTATAAATCTATTGAATCTATTGATATCTTGATTCAACATTTTTTCTTAGGTACCAGTTTACAAATAGTCTAATACCCTCTCTGATTTTTCTAAAATCTCTTTTATTTAAACCTGAGACAACTGAATTACATAGATCGTCTCTTTCTTTCGAAGTTGTATGGCCCAAGTAATTTACTGCTTCTATAACCCATTGCCTGCAAATAGAAGGCTCGTTGTTGTTAGCTTCGGTAGCAAGTCTAAATAATTTAACAATACAACTAATTGCATCAGAATGGGTAGTTTCATTAAAATTTGTTACTAAACCAGAAAATAAACTGGTGACAATTGCTGCACCTCTACCAATCACAATTTCTTGCAAAATTTGTTGTCTCCACTCATCTGGAACTGATTCAATTGATATAGTAGATATAGGTGGAGTTCTAAAGCCCCATGATATAATATCATCCAAACAACGAATAATGAAGGTATATGCATCATAATTTTCTAGTTTATGAACACTAGCTATTGCAATATCAACTACATTTCCTAACAGATCAGTGGATAAAATAAATTCCTTTGGATAAAACATTATTAAATCTGAAACCATGGCAAAAAAATCCATTATTTGTTCATAATAATCATTGATATTTGAATGATCTAGCGATGCAAAGCTCATTATAAATGTCAAACTTTGTGCACATCCAAATCTCCAAATTTCACTTTTCAACTGTGGACTGATTGGTAAGGATTCATCATCCCCAAAGACTACAATGAGTGAGGCCGAACACCACAAATAGGAACCAAATCCTGTATTAGAGTATCCATCAACCAAAAATTCAACAACTGAGCTTAAAATAGGTTCACAGAATATATGAAACTTTTCAAATAATCTTCTCAGCAATTTCGTAGTTCTTTCAACGATAATATTATCAGTCAACCCTTTCAAATCAATCAATATATGTTTCAAAAAATCCCACAAACTGACAATTAAGGGAGCCAATGGCTCACTCCCTTGATCTGGATATTCAAATCTTGGCTTCAATTCTTCAAACATGGCAAATATCAGGTCGATCTTATCAGCAATTTTTGCACTGAATGAATCTCTATTAGTTTGCCATTTTGGAACCAATTCCGATATTTCATTAAGATCATATGATAATAACTGTTGTGATAACGCCAAAACTTTATCAGATGGCTGTTTGTTAAGAACCGCGCTAAAACCTTGATACAACTCAAATTGAGATTCAATATCAACAATATTTTTAATCTTTAAATAAAAGTCAAAGAGTTGTTCAATATAATCAACAAGGAACTCCGAACAATCTGCACAGAAGTACATCAAAGCATGCGATGATGCAGTAAGAATTTCTCTGTTAGAACCAGCCACTTCAAAACCTTTAAAGATATATTGAAGTTGAACTTGTAACATATCTGGATGTTTAGCTGTCCATTCAGTATATCTTCCTAATACTAAAGTTGAAGCATATCTTATCTTAGGATGTTCAGGTAGGTTAATTAATATATTAAAAATTTGTGGAAGCAATGTATTTTCAGTAGATGAGATTTCTTGGGCCATAGTTCTTAGTGAAAACAAAGGAGCTTCAAGTGATTGCCATTCGTTTGAGTTCGCCAACGTTTCTTGTATTATTTCAAGTGGCTGAGCTAAAGCTTTTGAAGCCCCAACAACGGCGGTACAATCTTTTAGAACATCACCCATATGATATCTAAAATCTTTGAATTTATCTTCATTCTCCTTTGATGAAAATTCAACAGATGGGTACCTTAAGTGCCTGATTATGCATCTGATCAACTCAACATATATTGGAATGTATATTTTTCTTGATTCTTGATATCTTGGTAGGACTAAATTTAGTTTTAAATTAAACCAAAATGGGAATGTGTACTCAACAACATCTAAATCAGAGTTCTTTGAAGTAAACATTAATAATGCAATAACAAGTTTTTCAAATTGTTGTGGTGATTTTGAAATAAAGATAACCCAAGCTTCTCCAGCTTCTACAAATAAACGAGTCATACCTTCCATTAAATCATCATCCAAATCTTCTCCACTTGTAGTTGGATTTAAAAGAGTTGGAAGCAATTTTCCTTGTAATAAGAGTAACTGTTCGCATAATGAATTGACCAATTGTGGAGTAGAGTCTCTACTTTCTCTAATAATTACGGTCAAACAATCAACAGCGGCATCAAATATTCCAGTCGAATCGTCTTCATTACCGTTCATCAACGACTCAAAGATCGCTGATGTTAAAGGTTGAATTGATATAAGTTGATCAACTGAAAACTCAAAAGACCAAGAACTCAAACAACGTAGCACTTGTTCTAATGATATGTTAGAAGCCTGAGATAATTGTTGTCGATTTTTTAACATTTCGATACAGGTTACTAAGAATTTCAAAACATCTTCACGAATAGATTCAATTAACTCATGTGTTCTTGAATTGAATTCATTCTCAGTTAAAGGCGTTGAACCAATATCCAAGGTTTCTTCAGGTAAAATTTTCAAAAACTCTAATAATTTTGAAGGGAATGGGTTCAAAAATTCGATAATTTCAGGCAATGGATTGATCCATTGCAAATGTTGAATAGTAAGTCTAGCTAAAGCTACATTCAATTGAGTAATGATCAGTTTATGGGAATGTATTGAGATTAAATACAGTAAGGAATCTTTAAATTGTGATAGATTATCACTGCCCAACTGTGATAAATCATATGTAACTTTGTTTCTTAAAGTCTGGGATGCAAAAATATCAACTGATAAAGGGTACTGACCATTAGCAACCAATATTTCATGACAGATAGACCATGATTCATTAGACTTCTGAAATTGCTCTAAATATCTTAAAGCTTCATTTTTTTTGTCCTGCGAAATATTAGAAGAAATGCAATCCAATGCGGTCTTCAAATTCTCAATGTTATAAGACATATCAAACTAACTACCCTATTACCAACAACAATGACCAATTGTCCTAAAACAATACCCTGATACCAACCTAATAATTAACCAACCTTTAAAACTTCCATCAATTAATCAAATAACAACATTTTTTTTAAATAAATTTTCAATTCTCTGATATCAAAGCTTATTTAAAAATAATGAAAAATTAATTTAATACTTAAGAAACAGATAATGGATGCTATTTAAGGTCGGATAAGAGAGGTGGTTAGGTTAGTCACAACAAGTCGATAGGTATCGGTTTTTGTTTATTTTAGGTTATATTATTGAATTGTGTGAAGGGTTTTTGAAAAAAATTGATAACCATGTCGAATAGATCCAAGGCGATGATGCCACCTATTAATTGTATATTTAATTATTTACAACAGCAAACTTTGGTTACATTTTGGTTATACGAACAGGTAGGCATACGTATTCGCGGTAAGATTGCAGGTTTTGATGAATTTATGAATGTTGTTATTGATGATGCTTTAGAGGTGCCGGTTGATGTGAAGACAGGTAAGGAAAAGCTCGATGAAGCAAGAAAATTGGGTAGAATACTTTTGAAAGGTGATAATATTACTTTGCTTACTTCTGTTGATGGGTAATAAAATATCAAGAATGATGATAGTGGCATAGATCAATTGATTTGTCAGATATTCAACGATCTTTTATTATATAATAAGATGACAATTATATTTTTTTTGTAGGGGAACGAACGAAATAGACAACCTCACAGATATAATACTGGTAAAAATCGGATACGCTTGAAACTATATTTATTTGGTTCTAATTAACTTCATCGTATTTTGCTCAATTTGATTCACTGCATCTGATATTGACTTATCAAATTTTCAAGTGTCTTTGGAAAAGTTACAATATACATACATATAAGTATATATATATATAGATATGTATATACCAGAGTTCACTATTTAATTTTAATTCAATTATAAATAAATATCAACTAGTTAACTTTAAAGGATACAGACTCTAAGCTATTTGGTATTATCGTTTCACCATTTAAATCCTCCGATATACTCACTGATATCTCATAATCACCTTTTTCAATTGGGGTCATCTCTAACTGCACCTTCTCTTCAGTAGATAAAAATAACGGTTGGCATAATATCCCATTGTACAAAATTCTATTATTTACTTTTGGTAATGGAATGTTGCATCTGCTATCAACCATAGTAAAATTAACAAATAAAGGTGTTAGGTCCTCCTTTTCAATATTTTGTAGATTCAATGATACTGTTGCTATTAGATTAGACCCGATATTAACTTCTCTTTCACTTAATGATAAGTTTAAGTCAAATTGAGAGCATCCTTTGTATATTGAGTTAACCATTTTAGGGTCAAATTTTTCAACAAATTGTCTGAAATTAACATCTCCTGATAAATTTCCAGTAGATAGATTCCATAGACAATTCAAATTATTGATAACGTATTCTCTACACCAAAAGTTCACACGCATATCAGAAATTTCTTCTTCGCTTAAACCACTTTGAATAAATTGTCTTCCTTTAAAAATCTTTGGGATTGGCTCTTGGTAGAACTTACGATGGTTAAAATCCAATCGTTCAACAGGTACAATAATTCTTGTGGTATGTCCACCTTCTAGAAAATATTCTTGACTGCAGTAATCTTTGAATGTGAAGTTCAATTTTATACCATCAATCCACGAATTTCTCATATCTATCATCACTAATGCATAATCTGAAATTTTTTTGTTCTTATCTTCTTTTAATTTACCCATAATATAACCAATCCAATCAACAGTTAGTGAACTATCTGGAAATGTTTCTTTTAACTGGGTAATAAGAATCCCTGTAACTTCAATGCTTCTCTTTAATGTAAAGTTATAAGGCAATTTCAACTGCTTAACATATACATCCTCTGTATTTTCTAAATATTGTCCGTATTCAATAGTGACTTCTATATCAGTTAGTTCAAATGGCATATAGGAAGTGTCAATTTCAAATTCTACCTCTGCTATTTCATTTGGCTTAATAGATTTCGGACATCTAATTATTTTTAATGCTTTTTCTTTTATATTTTCCAATTGCATTTCCATATCATACAGTTCATCAGGTAAAACATTTTTCCAATAATCCGATTTCAATGACTGTTCTATATTAGAAATCTGTTTTATCGAAATATAATCTACAGATGAATTCAATGACTTGTTTTTCAACACAATCGAAGATTTCTGTTTCGTTCCTTCCAAAAACATAAACTTGTTTTCTATCATATCTGAGGCTTTTACTACATGCAATTCTGGTTGCTCAGGTAATATCTTGATGCTAAAGTCACCTAAATTTCTTCGGTCATTTATCATCATACTAGTGCTTTTAGACTTATTTTCAGTTAGTACTATTTCAAAATCGTCGTATTTTAAACCCATAATGGATAGTGATAGAGATGATATTGTGAAATGCTTTTCAAATGTTGGCTTCAGTAATTTAATTTTCAAATAAGTAGATGTAAATGATTCGGCACTTAATACCATAGGGTTATTTTCCGATAAGTCACAGTTTATAATTGTTGCATATTTAGCATTGTTTCCAGATAATTTAATACCATATACTTGAATATCAAATTTGAAGGGGTTTTGGAATTTACACATTATATCAACAATATCTCCAACTAAGAAAGTTCCTTGAAGTGTTGGCCTATTTAAGGTAGAATCAGTCACTGACGATCCTCTAGTGTGTCTGAATGGGTTAAAAACTTGCTGACCATCATTTGGATTAGAATTTAACATAAACTCATTTTTTTTTAGTAATATATTATCATTAACACTATCTGAGCTATTTGTGACAAAGTTTGATACATTGCGCACTAGGGATACTTCTCTTAAGAGAAATGGATCCCAATATTTGCTAATGAAAGAACTTTCAATCATGGGAAGTATATTAGTATTAAGTATTTTTTCCTGTTCCATTCGTGTTAATAAATGAGTATATCTGGTGATTAATAGTAAAGAAAATTTTGATATGCAATCGTAGTCCCTGACTCTTTCTGAAACTGTTAAACATAGTTGAAGTGCTTTCTTTTGAAAAGTCAACCAAGATGACTTTGACGCATCATCTATCGAAATCTCTGGCATTCTTCTATCTATACCGTATAGCCTTGTCATTTTCTCCAATAGACAATGATAATCAGAGGTCCATATTGTATTTTGAGCAGTGGCAACTAAAGTTACTAATAATAATCTTAAAACAAATGACTTTTTCCTTGTAAAGCCAAGCAAACCATATATCTCAGCTAATGTATAATATATATTTCTTTGGACCAGAATTTCCATGTCTTTCAACTGAAGTTCAAATAACTTTGAGGCAAAACCATAAATTTCCATTTTTGAGAAAGTTGGAACTTCAGAATTTGATTCAGACAATTCCGAATGCAGACCATGTACAATAGTTTTCAGATCTGTCGATTCTAGATTAGGACCTGATTTACAGGCAGTCATGAAAGTCAATGTTTTCAGAAGAATATCACAGTAAACTGTCTGAGGAACGTATTCCGAACTCTGTGATAAGGTTAAATTGTAATAATGTAAAATTTTATCGGATATCGCTTTTATAAGAAATGGAAGATTAACATTTTTAATATCTAGATCTGGGACTGAACTTGAAGAGTTGACTGAATTTCGCGGGGACGATAGCATTGGGGCCACGGTGACACTATTTCTTGGTGTCGATGGAATGCTGTCCGAATGAAGCTTATGGATTGGGCAGAGTTCTGTTATCGCTGACGGCACATGGAAAGAAACTTCCAAATATGATAATAAAATGAAACAGATTGCAATACCATCTAATGCGGAACCGAGCCATAAATTATCCCTTACGATATGCAACAGCACTACTGCCTCGGTGAAACTGTTTAACGCATCAACGTATCTACCAGATAGCAGCTGGAAGTTCCCCAATATTTTCAATTGTCTACCCTGAGATCTTTGCTGGGCCTTATTATCCGAAGTCGAGAGAGATCTGGCAATCTGCAGAGAAGCCGACCTTTTCAAGTTCGAGGTCGTCTTTTCAAAAGTGGACAATCTCTTGGATGCATTGGATGACTTTGAAGAGATATTCGTTTTGACTTGAGAGCCCGCCGTAGTGGTCAGAGTAGTCTTTAAGACCGTACTTCCACCAATGGCACCGGGGGATCTCAATGTGACATGTTTATAAGAAGAGTAATAACGGTCCAAAGCCAGTAAGAAGTTCCTACTGATATCACACATTATAGCCTCCAATTGGATCACTTGATCCATGTTCCAACGGAAAACATTTCCAGTTTCCAATTCTTCCGCTTTAAACGATTCCGGTAAATTGGAAGTGTATATCAAATTCTGAGAAGTTATAGCCGGGAACTTCTCCTTCAACGTCTCCAAATTTAATGATGGATCGCTCTCATCGTTGACTAGCCCAATGACTATAAATATCTTTCTAAATGGCTCGAAATCATACAGGAAAAGATCTAAAGCCTCGTTGTTAGCACTAGTAATAATATCCAAAAAGATACGTCCATGCGGGAACCCCTGGGGAGTGAAAAGTAAGCTCTCGATAGCAGAGATATCCAACAACCGAATCTCAGAAACATCCTTCAACAATTCAACAGCACTTTTAAACTTCTGGACCTCCCATTTACCTATAGGTACCACCAAAGTGTGGACTTTAGCCGGATCAACAAAGCTAGAATAAGTACCTAAACTGTTCATCAGCAAACCTAATAAAAGCACGCCCACATCTGACCTTCCTCTTTCATTCACAAACCAAACCAATTAAAAAAAATAAGACTACACACCCTTAATATCCATTATAGATTACAATTTAAACTTCCTGATCCTGATCCTGGTGCTGTTGTTAGTTACCAGTTAGTGCTTGTTGAATTCTTAATTATTGAAAATATACCATATCATTACCCACGACATACTTAACGAGGAACATTTCCGAAATCTTCACGAAAATATCGAAACCGTCAAAAAATCGTTTGAAATTGAGGAACTTGACCTTTAAAATTCTAATTGAGATTTTAGTTTAGGAATGAATTTGCCACCTTTAGTAGTTTTATTGTTTGTTGTTGGTCAGGAGGGATTGTAGAAAGAGTGTGATTACAGAATTTAATTGTGAGTTTTCAGTTTTAAGTTTTGACAGTAAGAGACTAGTGAGCAGTTCTGGGGGAATTTTTTGAATAGTAAAGAAAACACCAGTTATTTGCTGATAGATAGGATAAGGAATTTTAATTTTATTTTTTTTATATATTAGGATTAGGATTAACATTAGCATTAGGTTTAAGTTTAGGTTATAGGAACAGTTTGACGAAAGATAGGATAGGTTAATATGACAGGGTTATCGTTTGACAATTATCAGAGAAATAGTTATTTGACTTCAAAGTCAACATCCCAACCAAAGGCTACTTCTACTGGTACTACTATTGTGGGTGTTAAGTTCGATGGTGGTGTTGTAATTGCTGCTGATACTAGATCTACTCAAGGACCTATTGTTGCAGATAAGAATTGTGCCAAGTTGCATAGAATTGCTCCACGTATATGGTGTGCCGGTGCTGGTACTGCCGCAGATACCGAAGCTGTCACTCAATTGATTGGTTCAAACATAGAATTGCATTCGTTGTATTCTAACAGAGAGCCTCGTGTGGTGTCAGCTTTGCAGATGTTGAAACAGCACTTGTTCAAGTACCAAGGTCACATCGGTGCCTATTTGATCGTTGCTGGTGTCGATCCAACTGGTGCCCATTTGTTCTCTATACATGCTCACGGTTCCACTGATGTGGGTTACTACCATTCTTTGGGTTCCGGTTCTTTGGCCGCCATGGCTGTCCTAGAATCCAACTGGAAACAAGATTTGACTAAGGAGGAAGCCATCAAGTTAGCTTCAGACGCTATTCAAGCGGGTATTTGGAATGATTTAGGTTCTGGTTCCAACGTAGATGTATGTGTGATGGAAGTAGGTAAAGACGCCGACTACTTAAGAAACCACATAACTCCAAACGTAAGAGAACCAAAACAACAAAGTTATAAGTTCGCAAGAGGTACCACTGCGGTATTAAAGGAAAGCATAATAAACGTTTGCGATATTGACGAAGAAGAAGTTGATGTCACCGCTTAATCTAAGTCTACATACTTACAGTTTCATCACAACCCATCATTCATTCAATTTTATTACTATATATATAGATATATATTTTCACGATTCTGTATCGATTTCATATCCCATCTACATCTATTCAAAACCTCAACTACGATGGGGAAGGAATAGAAACAAGTAGAATGGAAAATCGAAACTATCCATTGACACAGATATAATATACAATTAGAAAAGTATATACAGTATGAATATATCAAT